ATGCCTTCATACATTCTAGATAATTTCTCTGGCATCATGTACCAATGATACATCATTTTATACAAATTCTCTTTAAGAACATAACACAATGTAAACTTCAACCCTTTTAACCACATATTTTTCCCACTGATCCATCTGTAAATTACAACCAAAATTCTGAGCTCACTTTATCATACATTCTTTAACCTGTTCTTCCTGTTTCAAATTTCAACAAAAGTTCGTACATTTTAGCAATTACATGTTTATCACCAGTACACAGTTGTATATCAAATTCTGTCTCCATACCATAGGTCTTTTTATCCATTTTAAATCTTTGTTAACTGTAAATGGGAAAACCATTGACAACTATATTTTTTTGCTATTCGTTGCTTTCTTGATTTGATATTCCCCTTGATAATTTTCCAATAAGTCCTAGTACGTCAACCATTTATCTTTGTCTGCCAGTTCTATTCTATAATATGCTTCTTGAGCTGAGATCCATAAAGGTGTTTTCAGACACAACCGGGCTTTATATCTATTCCATATTCTCAATATGGCATGTCTAATGAAATGATTTTTAAAGTCCACATTAATTTTAACTTTATCATACCATAAGTATCCATGTCATCCAAACCTCAAGTCATGACCTTCTAACTGTAAAAGACTCTTGTTTCTCAGCAACATCCATTCTTTCATCCAGACCAAACAACAAGCAGCGGCCCTTAAACTTTTGAAGCCAAAACCCTGGCCCAGATTTGATATGCAGCACAGGTCAAGAAAAACCCCTTAGAGGCCACACAAAAACTCAATTTCTCAGGCCATGCTCTCTCCTTCTAAAAGCATCCCTGATACAGCTGTCAGGCTTGAGGCAGGGAGGCCTGGGATTGAATATTGAGCTTGGAAATTAATAATGTTGTACTGGCTGAAACTCATTTCCTCTGGATTACCCCAAAATTGCCTTCTTTCTACTGGCTATGATCAAGCCAAAAGAATTATTTATCAAAGGCTGAAGAACATAGAACTTTGAACTAAAATTGGCTCCTTAATACAGAGCTTTGCAATACTCATTAGTAGGAATATGTGGAAACCTGCAAACTATCTGCATGTTAACTTCCCCCAGTTTAGGGAAATAATTTTTTCAAGACAGGCATAATGTCTTACTCTCAGCCCTTTTTAGTAGTAGATATAATAAAAACCCTGCATCTGAGTGTATATGCCTGTGTGACTCTGGAAAGGTTGTAACTGTCCAGCATGTACTTCTCTACTGCAATTTTTATAGAGATAGTCATGAATTTTATTTAGCATCTATCTTCCAGCAATTCTTGGGGAGAAGAGATGCATTTTATACTAAACTTCTTTTATAAGATACCAATCAAGATACAACAAAGAGCCCCTTTATAGACTTTTTGCATGAAACAGAGGGAAAAAAATGAACTTGTGACTTGTGGTTTTGATAAGACACAAATTAGATAATAGAAAAAAAGTTAGCTTTTTTTGTAACCATACAGTAGAGATAACTTTGTAATTATACTTGTACTTGCTGAAAAGGAAACCGGAAGCTTGTTTCTATTTCTTTTTATCTTTTCTTTCTGCACTTTCATCTTTTTCTCTTTGTTTTCTTTATTCTGTATTAGTTTTTATTAGTTTTTATCTTCTCTTTAAAACTTATAATAAAATGTATGCAAAAAAAGATACAACAAAGAGCATTGGCAAATATTTTCTGGTTGCAATAAAAACACAGCAACAGGTGACTTCATTAAACTAATATTATTCGTACCTTTTAGTTTTATTACCATGCACTTTCTTGGGTGAATTGTGACACATTTACCTTGTTTTTCTGCTCTATTGTTTCAGATAATTGTCTGCTCTTTGACCACATATAAATAAATATAATTGTAATAATATACAATCTCAGTAACATTTAAAATAGAAGGCTAAGGTGGTAGAAACTTCTGAACAGAAAATGATGCACATTTATGAAAGAGACACAGTACTTTATTTCACATACTTTGCAAATTATATCTGAATTTAAAATATCTGTTTAAATCAGAATCATAAAATTACAGAAGGTCATTTAAACATCAAAACCAACTTTTCTCCTCAACTGAAACACGTAAAGACTTTTTGCAGAAGAATTTGATGACACAAGTGAACGAGATAAGGGGCAAGATCCTGCAGCTGGTTAAGACATGGTTTTTGAGAATTCTGGACCATTTCAGAACAAGAAACATCACATCTGTACTAATATCTCATTTATGCTGCAAATGTTCTGTAAAATCCTTAACATTCATAAATGCAATGGTTTATGTAAGACAATATACAGATTGTTCCATTTTTCCCATACAAAACTAGTAAGGTATTAATATGTTCACATTTAAAATTAATATTGTACAAGACATTCATATTTATATTCCAAATAATATCAACAGGAGAAACACATTTTCTGAATGTAACATGAGGTAGTAAATTATCTCTACATTGTCAAAGCATTTGCTAAAAGGTGAACAAGTGTCTTAATTGTATTAAAGAAACAGATCTCTCACCAGCATAAGACTTTCAAGCATGTTCCAGATGTGACTGAAACACCTACTGTCTAGGGAGAATCCTCATATTCTAATACAGAAAACAATAATTAAGAACTGATAACCAGAACTGCATATGCTGTATGAAGATGCATCATGTTTTCTGACTTCTCTCCATTTTTATGTCCCTGATATTTTCAAAGCCAATGTTGTTTTAAAGGCCCCTTTGGAATGCTTTCCTATTTTACTTTAAATGCAGGGAGAGAATTCCAGAATCATCTTAATAGGAAAACTGATTGCTGCATTTCAGTGTCCAGAAGTGCCATTGCTATTATTTGTGTAACAGCTTCTAAATCTCTCAGTGGCAGATTTATTTTAACATACAAAAACATTTGGTGGATAAAAACATTACCATTACCTTCTTAATCATGCTAGCTTCTTGGAATGGCTTGTTTAGTAGAAGCCAACTGGGCTAATTTTGTGTACTAACGCCAATCTTCTGCAAGTAACTTTCCCAGCCTACTTTCCTATACGCCTCTGCTTCAGCCAGGTGGTCTGATGCAGATAAGATGCCCCGTCCTACAATGATGATGTCTGAATTTCTTTTTCTGATAACGTCTTGTGGACTTAGGTACTTCTGCCCAAGGCTATCACCTGCAAGGAACAACACATTTTTGCTGTTTTCAGACTTTTTTATTTTAATAAAATTTAAAATAATTACAGAAAATGCCAGAAAAAAGTTATTCCTTATAGCAATGAATACATTCATCACTATATTACTCAAATACAAGGGAAAGGCACACAGAAAAGAATGATTCTTCTAAAGGATCTCTTCTCTCCTAAGGTAATAAAATGCCAACAGAGGTTTAACGTAAGTATAAAATAATGCACAAGATGGCAAAAAAATAATAACCTCTATTTCTTACAGTGGTGCTGGTAACAAAATTGTTTTATAAAAGTTGTGGTAAATGGTTCAACAGAAGTCCATCACCAGGGGAAAAATAAATTTTGAGCCAACAATTAGAAAATGAATGAAATAATAATTGCAAATATCAAACTTCCTTACACAAATATATATGTACCCACATTTATAATATGTTCAGTTCTGGCTGATGCTGAAAAAAGTGCAGAGTATCACAATTATTCTGAGGTTGCAATAAATTCTATACAAAGAAAGAATAAAACATTTGGAAATTTTACTTTTCAAACACAAGTTGACAAAAGGAACAGCTTTATAGCTTTCTCCCTTGCATACACTATCTATTCTATTAAAAAAAGGATCACTTTTTGAAATTAACAGGCAAAAGAAAATATCACTTCATAAGTACGTAATTTAAAGCAGGAGAGTGGCAACAGAAAATAATAATCTAAAATCTCGCTGCCCCAGTTCATGCCACTTAGTTCTTGAAAAAGCATAGCCAATAGATGAATGTCCAATCTCTGCATGAACATATCCAGTAAGGGGCTGTTTATCATCTTCCATGGTAATAGGGTCGTTATCAGACTGTTCTTACTATTAAGCAATTTTCTCAATTTTAAACAAAAACAAAGCCACTGCAGCAAAAGTAGAAATACCCATAGCAAACAAGCTTTTAATATTTGCTTTTAATTAAAGAAGGAACATTTATATCATAAACATATGCTCCACGTATGAACCTATGTCACAGTGGTTGGTTCCCCAATTGTATTCTACTGCAAACACTAAACTTGTACACATTTATAGCCAACCTAATTCTTACTCTAATCAAGGTTACATATTTTAAAACATTTTGTACTGTTAAAAATACCCTAGTTATTCTAAATACGTCACTGCGACTACAGTGCTCACCTCCAGCTTGCATCTGGACACCTGGAGTTAAGTGAAGAAATTCAGGTTTTTCAATAATTCTAGAGCCAGAAATAAATCCCAGAACAAAATCTGAGTGTTCTTCAGCCATTTTAACCTAGAGAACATGCAGTCACACAATCAGGTAAATTTGCTTTGACAAACTGTAGAATGGAGGAATAAATACTAAGCAGTGGTGCTATTATAAAAGCAAAGACACAATCTTACAAAGTCACAGCAATATTATTATTGACCATATTGGCCAGAATATTAACAGATGCAGATCCCTCTATTCGCAAAGAGATATTATTTACCTCATAAAGGAAAGGACATCTCAATCACAAAACTGCACTAGCCCATAACCATCCTTTGTCTCAGAATCATTTCACGATCCCCTTCCATTCTTGCCTACGCACCCCCAGGCTTCCCAGAATTATTCTGGCTTTCACTGTCCACCATCGCTCCTTCTCAGGCAAGAATTTTTCTAACGCACTGAAGCAAAGCTACACTTTCATTCTAAGCAGCTCTTTCTCCTCCATGCTGGAGAATGGGGGGGAAAGGCTGATGCTTTTAGGTATGTAAGATGCTTTTATTTTTCAACTTTACTCGAACAAAAGCCCCAACTTACTACAGCTTTAGTATAGTCACCAGTGGCCAATGATTCGTTGGAGCTCATCTCGCCAATCAAGAGACATCCCCGCTGTAAAGGATGCCCTACTTCTTTCAGTCCCTTAATAACCCCAGGGCCAGGGACTGCATGGGCATTAACCATGTCTGACCATGATGCTATTTTGAAAACACCACCTGAAAGAAAGGATAGACAAGTTAACAACTAAACAAATATATGTTACTGAAAAAGCTACGTAAATTGGCCAAAACCCCCTTTCACCTTTTTATTACTGTGGAAATATCGCCAAGAATCCAGATCAAAACTCCACACTCCAAAACAGCCCAAACTACAGTAGACAGCTACAGAAGGGGAGAGGCTCTCTTCTGCTTCACCATACAATTCCACCCTCTGCCATAACTGGACAGCGGCTGCGTCCAGGCTGGGATCATCTTGGAGACTCAGATAGAGCCCAGTTTGAAAGAACCAGTCTCTCCTGCTGCACACACCAAAATGGCCCTGGAGGATAATGCCATGAGCCAGAGGGGACAGATCATGCCTAAAGTGGTCAATAGAGGCTGGGCTGATCCCAGCACTCTTAGGAGTTACCTGACTGCATCAACAGCAGAATGGTCAGTGAAGAATGGCAGATTACAGCCATGGCAAAAACTGTCAGGATAAGAGGGAAACCCTACTTTAAAAATAGAGCAGCCAAAGAACCATTTAAGTCTAACTGCTGTGGGCTGCAGACCAGATGAAGGTGATGCTGTGAAGACTTGGCACAAAAAAAGAGATTACTGGGGTGTGTTTGTGCTATGGTTACTGCCACTGGGGAAAGGCTCAGTGGTTAAGTATGTTTTAATTCTTGTATGAAGTGAGAAGTTTGAGAAGCACAAACTAGGTCGATTTATCTTAAAATCTTAAGTCAGCCAAAAGTCCTGGAAGCATGTCCCAACACATCTAGAGGCCACTAAGTTAAGAAGGCTATTCTAGAATACTGAAACACTTGTTTTAGTAATAATGTACATGCTAGCCTCAACATGAGTTTTGATAATATTCAGAATAAAATTCATTTTAAGAGAGGCTCAGAAGGTTTGAAAATAAAAAGCAAATTTGTGCTCAAATGCATAACAATGTTTGAAATTAAAAATACCCCAACAATTTAAATAGCCCTGCCGAGGTTACAGTGCAGCCAGGGAAGTCAAATTTACCTTTGTACTGATGTTTCACTGTATTTCCAATGTCTGCAAACTTTCGGTCTTCAAAAATCAAAAATTCATGTTGAGCAGCAAGCACACTCAACTCTTTTACTACTTCTTGGGTAAAATCATCCAGAATATCAATGTGAGTTTTCAAAATACAGATGGATGGTCCCAGAGTGTCAGCTAGCTGGAGCAAGTCTTTGGAGTTGTTCACATCAGCAGAAAGGCACAAATTAGACTGTTTTTTCTCCATGAGCCTGAGAAGTCGAGCAGCCAGAGGATGAGTACCTGGCAGTTCAGCCCGAGCAGCGTAACTCATTTCTTTGCATACTCTTTTCATAGGAGCAGTACCATTTTGCTCAGACGGCCTAAAAATATTGTCTTGAATGAATTTTTCTACTCTTGCCACCATTTCAGAAGTAATTTTTTTCTGCTGTTCAAGGATTTTGAGAATTTGAGACAAGCTGCATACTGAGTGCAGCCTAATTCCATGTTTTTCCAACATGGCTTTCCCTCCTTGTTCTCTGTCCAACAGCACAATGGCATCAGTAACCTTCAGTCCCTCTTTCCAAAGGACCTCTGCCGTCTCCAAGACACTTGAACCACTAGTCACTACATCCTCAATAATCAGGCACATTTCTCCTGAATTAATTGTTCCCTCCACAAGGCGTTTGGTTCCTTTAAGAGCAATAAAAATAGTCCTTTACATTAATGAACATTATAAAATCCTTTCTGGCTTAAAACAAAAATATTACTGTCATTAATAAACATACACGAACAACACATTAATCATTCAAAAAAATCATTCCAATGTAAAACATTTGCATGCATATTTATTAATCATGGACACATAATTTACATCAAAACTCTCTTTTCTACTAAAAGAGAATAAACTGGTAACAGTTAATTATCAGCCATATCTTTACTGTCTTGAATATTCATCACTTATACACCTATCTTGAATATTTACTGCTTATACTCCAATATGTAAAATTTAAATTTATTCTTTTTACCATGGTCTTTTGCTTCCTTTCTCCGTATAAGCATTGGAATCTTGTTAGTTGAGCAGATTATTGTAGCCAATGGCAAAGCTGTGTATGGAACACCACACACAGAATCATACTTGAGTGCAGCATCTTTGGCTGAACAGAAAAGGAGATCCGCTACCTGAAAGAATTGTTTTAAAATGTATTTTATTAGCATACAATAGATCTACCAGAAAGTGAAGGCTTAAAAAGGAGTTTTCCAAATCCTATGATCACTAAAATCTGATTTCTTTTGTTACCCCATTTGGTAAAAAAAAAAAAAAAAAAGGCAAAAAATGTATATGTAAATGCATACATTATCCTTCAAAACTACATCTTCTTGAGGCAACATAAATGTCTTGTCTGGTCTTTGCTTCCAGACAGAGCAGTTGCAGGGAATGATCACTTATTCATCAACTTAAACAACTGGACAGTTCTTTTAAAATTGCATTACAGGTAGTCCCCAGTTTAAGAACGAGTTCCATTCCCAAGGTCTGTCCTTAAGTCGAATTTGTATCTAAGCCAGAACAGTAT